ACTTTCCAATCTTCTGTAATGATCACTTTCCAATCTTCTATAATGATCACTTTCCAGTCTTTTGTAATGATCACTTTCCAATCTTCTGCAATGATCACTTTCCAATCTTCTGTAATGATCACTTTCCAATCTTCTGTAATGATCACTTTCCAATCTTCTGTAATGATCACTTTCCAGTCTTCTGCAATGATCACTTTCCAATCTTCTGTAATGATCACTTTCCAGTCTTTTTGTAATGATCTTTCCAATCTTCTGTAATGATCCAGTCTTTTTGTAATGATCACTTTCCAGTCTTTTGTAATGATCACTTTCCAGTCTTTATCTGTAATGATCACTTTCCAGTCTTCTGCAATGATCTTTTAGTCTTCTTGTGATCACTTTCAATCTTTTGTAATGATCACTTTCTAATCTTCTGTCTTTGTAATGATCACTTTCCAATCTTCTGTAATGATCACTTTCCAATCTTCTGCAATGATCACTTTCCAATCTTCTGTAATGATCACTTTCCCAATCTTCTGCAATGATCACTTTCCAATCTTCTGTAATGATCACTTTCCAGTCTTCTGTAATGATCACTTTCCAGTCTTTCTCTTCTGCAATGATCACTTTCCAATCTTTTAGTAATGATCTTTTTCACTTTCCTTTGTAATCTTTTGTAATGATCACTTTCCAATCTTCTTTCCAATCTTCTGATCACTTTCCAGTCTTTTGTAATGATCACTTTCCAATCTTCTGCAATGATCACTTTCCAATCTTCTGTAATGATCACTTTCCAATCTTCTGTAATGATCACTTTCCAATCTTCCTGTAATGATCACTTTCCAATCTTTTTGTAATCTTTCCAATCTTCTGCAATGATCACTTTCCAGTCTTTTGCAATGATCACTTTCCAATCTTCTGTAATGATCACTTTCCAGTCTTTTGTAATGATCACTTTCCAATCTTTCTGTAATATCACTTTCAATCTTCTAGTCACTTTCCAGTCTTTTGATGATGATCACTTTCCAATCTTCTTAAATGATCACTTTCAATCTTCTGTAATGATCACTTTCCAATCTTCTGTAATGATCACTTTCCAGTCTTTTGTAATGATCCACTTTCCAGTCTTTTGCAATGATCACTTTCAGTCTTTTGTAATGATCACTTTCCAGTCTTTTTGTAATGATCACTTTCCAATCTTCTGTAATGATCTTTCCAGTCTTTTTATATCACTTTCCAATCTTTCCAATGTAATGATCACTTTCCAATCTTCTGCAATGATCACTTTCCAGTCTTTTGTAATGATCACTTTCCAGTCTTTTGTAATGATCACTTTCCAGTCTTCTGTAATGATCTTTTCATTTCCAATCTTCTCTAATGATCACTTTCCAGTCTTTTGTAATGATCCTTTCCAATCTTCTGCAATGATCACTTTCCAATCTTCTGTAATGATCACTTTCCAATCTTTTGTAATGATCACTTTCCAATCTTCTGTAATGATCACTTTCAGTCTTCTGCAATTTTTCCAATCTTCTGTAATGATCAGTCTTTTGCCAATCTTCTGTAATGATCACTTTCCAATCTTCTATAATGTCACTTTTCCAGTCTTTTGTAATGATCACTCTTCCAGTCTTTTCTTCTAATGATCACTTTGTAATGATCCCAATCTTCTGTAATGATCACTTTCCAGTCTTTTGTAATGATCACTTTCCAATCTTCTGCAATGATCACTTTCCAGTCTTTTGTAATGATCACTTTCCAATCTTCTGTAATGATCACTTTCCAATCTTCTGTAATGATCACTTTCCAGTCTTTTGTAATGATCACTTTCCAATATTCTGTAATGATCACTTTCCAATCTTCTGTAATGATCACTTCTATATTATCTGTAAACAAAAAATAAAAGATCTGTAAAATCCCATTTGTAAAATAATCTTCTGTAAACATCACTTAATGACTTTCTGTAAAAATCATTTGTAGACAGTATTTGTACAGAAAAGCATAAACTCCTATGTGATTCAAATTTATAGCTGTTATACAATTACCATGTGACATTTTATAAATTATAAAGTGGCTGAAGGCTACAAATAAAATTTCAACTAGAATTTATAGAGGAAATGAATTCTATTTTTAATGTTTTCTCTGGATATACTTCATCTACGCATTAGGGAATACGATAAGCATTCTTTCCCAATTTTATTTTATTTTTCTCTCCTTTTTTTATTAATGTAAAATCACAATGTTCAATTTGATTGAAGCCCTTAAGCCTATGAGTTAATCAAAATAACTTTTCAACAATGGCTATAATCATAGGAATGAGAAGAGAATTGTTCTGGAACAGAATAAGGAATATATTTGTTCTATTTTTGCAAGAGAACATAATTGGTTGGTGTTTACAGGCAACCAAAGAGGAGACCTGTTTGCATCTCTGGCGTAAAATGCAGACTTGATTGTTTTCTGCTATTTGGATTCCTTAAAGATGTTTGGATGAAATTTGTTTATTAATCTTTAGCACTCTGCATTATATATATATATTACTTCCCTTTCTACTGCATTCTTTTTCAAGATCTTTCAATTGCAGTATCCTTATTGTTAATTTCACTCAAAGTTGTTTTCTGCTGGCATAGCAGGATATGACAACACAACTATGAAATTCAAACGAACTATTGTTCAGGTATCAGAGTTATCTTCAGTCATAAAGGTAAATAAATTCATGGATTACAGTCAGCAGATGAAAAGTAAAGTTAGTGTCCTTATCTCTTACAGGGAAACTCAATACATATACACATATGTATATATTTTAAATGACAGTCAAACCATTTAAGCCAAACAACTGGTCAATGTTCTTTGCTCCCTTTTCAGAATGTTTAGTAATGTCTATTTTCACTTTTATGGTGGTGGCTTTCCTTTTCTTTGAAGCCCTCCAATCAGAAGAGGTTACATAATGAAAAGTCATAATGAAGAACAATAAATTTCCACAGACACAACACGAATGAAAGAGAGTGAATGCACAACAATCCAATATAAGACTACTCTTGGAAATTAAGCCTCAACACCACCTGGCCATTTTTTCATTTCTTTTCAAAGAAAGACTTTCTTAAAGTATTCATGAGTATCCAAAATGCTTATCTTGGCCAATTTGTTCTTTGAATTGTTTCTAGTTATTTTATTTATTTATTCTCTCTGATAGTTTTGTGTGCATTATAGGCTATAGGCTTTTGAAAAAAAAAACACCAAATTTTCATTTAATATTGAGGAATTCTCTCTTAAATCCATTTACAAACCTAAATAAATAGTTTCTTCCTTTTTAGGGGATATACTTTGTTGCAGGGTTAATCCATTTACATCCAAATCCCAAGACACAAGCTGAAAACATTTACAAGTCCAACTGAATAAACAGTCCATGTAGCATGTGACTCCCACAATTTGTAGAGTAATTGGCCATGGTTAAGTGTAAGTGGTAGAAATGCCCAACAAACGGAATTGGCAAAATTTCTAAAAAGCAATAACAAGAAAGAAGAGAACAGGACAAATATAATACTTAGTAAACAATGTATGTAAGACAAAAGTAGGCAAATCAACAGTGACATGTCAAGTTCACAAAAAGTTCACAAAGTAAGAATGGTATTAACACACAAAAGGAATACAGACAAGCGATTACAGTGTTCTGAATTCAAGACAAGATAGAACAGAAATATAGCTGATGAGAATGAGAAGTGGTCCATCTTATTGGTTAAGAAGAAATTCCAGCATGTAACTGTATGTTTTGTCTATAAATTCAGGAAGGGAGATATTTTTGCAGTCATTCCAAACTGACAGAAGATCATGCTGAAATAGACTTTGTAAACAATGATCTTCTTTTAAAGAACGCTGTGTACAAAGACAGGTACATCGATGGGCTCATCTGATCTTCTAGTCGCCAAGTGTGGATCGATACTTCACCTCATGCTGCCAATGATATGCCAATGTGTGATTGACTGCAGCTAGTATGTGAGAACATGAGAAACACCAGTAGATATATAAGTACCGACTCAATGGGGAAATGGTACAGTCTCATACATACTTTTGAGACTGTAGAGTTAATGTTTGGAGAATGCCCCAAAGTCACACAAATGGTAACTGAAAAAGTCCACAGTTAAATAAAATGTAATGTTATGTGTGAGAGATTAAACTCAAGTTTTCGTTAGTAATGGTGATGATGATGATATATACAACAATAAAAATTTATGATTTCCATCTTTTTGGTATGAATCTTTCAATGACTAAATTGATGAGGCATCATAAAAATTGTTCATCTTGGCAATGTGACTTGGATCTTCCGTTCGAACAACCTCTTTGATTTATTTCTTCATATTTAAATACATAGTTTAATATGTCTGCCTTTAAAGGTTCACAAGAAGGAAAAATGTAGGTAATTATTCATGGAAAGTAAAAGACAGATTAAAAAGTTACATTTCTCAGAATTGTCAACATCAAGAAAATTGGTAGATAAAAAATATAGCAGCACCTTTTAAAAGGTGTGGACAACTGCATCTGACCATTCCACCGGAGGCAGGTTTCTTTAGAAGCTGAATTGATTAATACTGAATGAAATGACATTTCTATTGATGCTTCTTGACAAAGACAGAATGACAGGAATTTCAAGGCATGAGGCAACAACATTTTATCTTCATTTAGTTTTCCTTCTGATATTATTTGTTACATCTGCATTTTTCCCCCTTTTTTATTGCATTTATTCTTGAATTAGTCAAGGAAAAAAGATGAAAGAACTAAATAATTATTAGTTATAAAATGATAAGGAGGAAGATGCAAGAAAAGAAAGAGGGAAAAAACAGAAACTGAAAAATAAAATAGAAGAAAAAAACAAAAGAAGAAAAAGAGAATTAGACTACAAAAAGAGAAGAGTGAAGAAATTTGAAGACAACAAAAGAAAGTAAAAAGGTTAAAATTCTTAAAAGGTGAGGAATAAAGTTCCAAAGAAAGCTACCGAAAGAGAAATAAATGAATGAAAGAAAACAAAATTAAAAAAAGAAAGGAAATAAATAAAATAAAGGTAAAAAGAATGATAGAAAGAAGCAGACAAATAAAAAAAAGTACAAAAAGAAATATAAGACAAAGTATAGAAAGAAAACAGGTATGACAAAGAAATTAGAAAAAAAGAAAATAAAAATAAGAAAAATAAAAGTAAAGTGAAAAAGAAAGAGAAAAAGAAAGAGAAAAAGAAAGAAAAAAATAAGAATGAAAAATAAGGGAAACAGAATGAGAAAGATAATGAGAAAAAGAATCAAAGTGAGAAAAAGAAAGTGAAAGAATAAGAGTGAAAAAACGAGAGAAATAGAATAAGAGTGAGAAGAAGAGAGAAATAGAATAAGAGTGAGAAGAAGAGAGAAATAGAATAAGAGTGAGAAAAAGAGAGAAATAGTAAGAGTGAGAAAAAGAGAAATAGAACAAGAGTGAGAAAAAGAGAGAAATAGAATAAGTGTGAGAGAGAGAGGATAATAGAATAAGTGAGAAAAAGAGAGAAATAGTAAGAGTGAGAAAAAGAGAAATAGAACAAGAGTGAGAAAAAGTGAGAAATAGAACGAGTGAGAAAAAGAGAGAAATAGAATAAGTGTGAGAGAAAGAGGAAAATAGAATAAGAGTGAGAAAAAGAGAGAAAAAACATGACTGAGAAAAGGAAAGAGAAATAGAATAAGAGAAAAAACAGAACAAGAATGAGAAAAAGTAAGAAAAAGAACAAGAGTGAAAAAAAGAGAAAAATAGAATAAAAGTGAGAAAAGGAGAGAAATAGAATAAGAGTGAGAAAAGGAGAGAAATAGAATGAGTGAGAAAAAGAGAGAAACAGAATAAGAGTGAGAAAAAGAGAGAAATAGAATAAGAGTGAGAAAAAGAGAAAAATAGAATAAGAGTGAGAAAAAGAGAGAAATAGAATAAGAGTGAGAAAAAGAGAAAAATAGAATAAGAGTGAGAAAAAGAGAGAAATAGAATAAGAGTGAGAAAAAGAGAGAAATAGAATGAGTGAGAAAAAGAGAAAAATAGAATAAGAGTGAGAAAAAGAGAGAAATAGTAAGAATGAGAAAAAGAGAAATAGAACACAGAACAAGTGTGAGAAAAAGAGAGAAATAGAATATGAGTGAGAAAAAGAGAGAAATAGAATATGAGTGAGAAAAAAAGAGAAATGGAATAAGAGTGAGAAAAAGAGAGAAATAAAATAAGTATGAAAAAAGAAAGGGAAAGAGAAAACAGAATAAGCGAAAAGAAAAGAAAAGAGTGAAACATGAAAGAGATAGAATAAGAAAAATAGAGATAAAAGAAACAGAGAAGAAAAAATGAAACAATAAGAGTGAATACAGAATGAGAAAAAAGAGTATCAAAGAGAGAAAGAGAAAAGAGAGAAAAACAAAGAGAAAAGATAGAGACGGAATAAGCAAGAAAAAAAAGGAAAGAGAAACAGAAAATAAATATGAAAAAAGAAAGAGAATGAGTAAAAAGTAAGAAAGAAACAATAAAATGAATAAAGATATATAGTCTAAGATAGAAAAAAAGAAACTGAAAAAGAAACAATAAAAAAGAAAATGAAAGAGAAAAACAGAAAAAAGAAAGAGAGACAGTAAGTGTAAAAAGGAAAAAAAAATATTTATCAATTTTCCCACTTCTGCCGATATTTTTTTCACTTTTGTAATAAATTGCCGTTGAATTCTAATGAAATGAGTGCATGACATTTGCAGACAAATGTAAAAATTGAAAATAACAGTTGTCACAAAATTATACAAGCAAAACTGTCATTGGACTTGTGTAGGCAAAAAAAACTCATGAATAAAGATATTCAAATATTTATGTATGCAGCTACAATCTTTTTTATGTACTAAGGTATGCATTTTATATAAGTAAGTGACCATATTACTATCTCTCTATATATATCCATACATATGCATCTATCACACCATGTTCAAAGTTATGTCTATGTTCATATCTAACTCTGTTCATTCGTCTATCAAAGTCATTTCATATTTATCTGTACCAAAATAGATAGATAGGAACATCAATAAATCCATAACCTAATGATAAAAATGTATGTGTTATTTATGTATACATTTTTCAACATAATTTCCTTCAATGCACTTAACCCAACACTTTTCCATTAATAACATTGATCGAATATTATCAAGTGAAAATTTCATCTTATTTCAATATTTCATCTTATAACCACATCAGACTGCAGAGTTATTGACATATAATATTATATATTAATGATATCTATTATAGATTGTGTGTGTGTGTGTGTGTGTGTGTGTGAAAGCAGTTTGTTTTCTTATGAATAAAAGCTCACATCTAAATATATATAAAAACACATGCATATTTATATGTTCATATATACATACACACACGTGTGTGCTAAGTATATAAGAGTGTGTGTGCATCTATCTATCTATCTATCTATCTATATATATATATATATATATATATATATATATATGTATGTATTTGGGTAGCAATCCCTCTTTTATACAAGTTTCATTGATGACTGACAATATACTGCAATTGAGCTTTTGATTTAATTTTTCTTGTGTTTGTACATTGTTTTCTTTTCTGGTCATAAATTATATAAAAATTGTCTAAATGTTTTATATAGCCAAGCATTTTTGACTTTTCTATTAGCTATTATTAAGAACATTTTTTATTTTATTTTTAACTGAATGTGTAAATTTTTATAAATGTTTCTAGAGTGATAGGAATGTATTTTAATTTCCAAACATGGTCAGCACATTGTGGCCATGTTCATAGTTGATGTTATTGAGTGTTGTGAGTATAATTGTATTTTCTATAAGTATGCTGTGGATGGAGTTGGGTAGGTCTCCATGTGTGTTTAAATGAGTCCTATGGTCAGATAGGTGCAATGTCAGTCTTCTTGATAGGCGTGTAGTGGTATGTCCAATATAATTATTCATGAAATAAGAAAGAAACAGTCTAATTGGTGGTGAGTAATTATATTGAACATATCACAAGATGCCAATCAGGAAGACTCATATTACACCTCTCTGACCATAGCTAACTACAGTGAAGTGTGAAGTGCAGGAGAAGAAACTATTAGCATAGAACTTACAGTTATACTTAGCAACTTTAACAGTGAAATTATGAGACATAGCAGCCAATCTAGTACTGCACTTATATTCATAAAGTCAATGTATCCAAGAGGAAAGCTGATCAGAGTAATTACCATGAAAGTATTTATAGAAAATTCACAGGGAAGCTATATCATTGCAGTGAGAAATGACCAGAGCCAAGAAGTCAGGTCATGACTGGTGACATTGCAAATTCTTGTTTGGATTTTATCAAGAATCAAAATATATATCAGAAGCATCAGACCAGATGTGGCAGAAATATTCGATGCATAGACAAAAGGGAGACTGATAAATGTGTAAGATGGATTCTGTTGAGAAAGTGCCTAGTATGGCAATGTGAACCAACATTCCTAGCTGCAGAATTAGCAATTCATTCGATATAATTCTTCCATTCATTATCACTGGAAAATAGTTTTAAGATGATTAATAGAGAGTTTCATTTTGGAGGTGTTATATATATATATATATATATATATATATATATTCACTGATGGACTGTTTCCCTGTATCAGCTGTACAGTGTGGCTAGATATCTGATTGCTTCAAGCTGGGATTGAAACCAGACCGATTTGGCATCAGTCAAAGATCCTACCCATAAGCAATTGGCGCACAGTAAAGAGAATGGGAAATTTTGACATTTTCTATAGGAAATACATCAGTAGCCAGGAGAGCTCAATTTATAGTTGAAGAGCAAATGCATTAATAGAAGTAGCAGCCACTGTTTTCAAAATTATCCTCTTCTCCAGAGAGCTCAATCAGATTTCCCGAGAGCATATATATAGTCATTCACAAACAGACTGTTTTGCTGTATCACAGCTCTTCAGTGTGGCTAGATGTTTGATTGCTTCAAACTGGGATCGAAACCCGACTGATTTGGCATCAGTCAGAAATCCTACCCCTAAGCTATCAGCGCACGGTAGAGAGAAAGGGACATTTGAATGTTTTCTATATGAAATATGCCAGAAGTCAGGAGAGCTCAACTCATAGCTGAAGAGCAATGTGTTAATAGCAGTACTAGCTATATATATATATATATATATATATATATATATATATATATATATATTCTATATTCTGGTAAGCTGCTGGATCATGTAATTTAAATTCTGTCTATATTTATATATATATATATATTTTATTTAAACATGTCTGATTAAAATATTTAGGCAAGTTATATTTACTTACTATCAATAAAAATCATTTCGTAATCATGCCCATGCTTTCTTGTTTCATGATTAAAGACGGCGAGAAAGGTACTGTGGTTATATTTATTCATTTTTATTTTTCCCAAGTACTTTTGATATTTTTCAGTATCATCTTCAGGGATTTGATGGCTAAGACAAGTAATTGTATTTGTCCTAAATATGTTTTTGCTTTTGTGGCTATTTGTCTTAGCCATCAGGTCCATTGTTAACTGGGGCAAAAAATGGCTTGTTAATTTTAACACCTCAAATATATATATATATATATATATATATATATATATATATATATATATATATATATATATATATATATATATATAAGAAAAATATACGGAAAAAACAAACAAAAATCTTAATATGCAATTACGCTGTTTTAATGTTAATATAATGTCAATGTATTCCTAAAATAGAGTATTTTGAATGAAACATGAAAAGAATTTTATTTTAATCTAAGACGTATATGTACATTTGTCGAGCATTAATCTTGCTAGAAAAGGGGAAATATAAAAGAAGCCGGGTCTAGTATTCACCGTGCGTGAGATAGATATTATGCCTGCCTCATAAATTTTCACAACATTGCCCACGTGATGCCGATGTGATCATATTGAAATGGAATGCTGATCTTGAAAATTTTCAGTTATCTGTTTTTATTAGTCTTACTCTTATGTCCATCATCTTTTCATGTTGAATTAAATATAGTCTAATGTTAATTATGTTTTATGAATATGTCCTGAAGATGGTCTACTAGACCGAAACGTCCAATGTTGATATTATATTAACATTAAAACAGCATAATTGCATATTAGGATTTTTGTTTGTTTTTTTTCATATATTTTCTTCATACTGTGGATCTATATCCATATATTTGCTTACATATATATATATATATATATATATATATATATATATATATATATATATATATATATGAATATACAGTGTGAGATGGGTCAATTGTCTTCAAAATTATGCAATATGAAAACTAACACTGATATCTCATTTTAACAAATATATCTATAAAATTACAAAAAATATCTTGAAATACTAAAGAATAAATTTATTCAATACAATCGCCAGTGGCTTCAACTACAGCTTCTGGATGACTTCAGAATCTTCTGCAACTCTTATAGATGGTCTCCTTGTTTAAAGGCTGATCTGGTTGCGGAAATTGTCTGACAGCCATGACTGGGTTCTCTTGCTTGTGTGGCATGGTGCAGAATCCTTTTGTCAGATATACTGCCTTCCAGTAGCTACCTTCTTGGCCCAAGACAGCACTACCTCCTCAAAGCACTTGATGTAGGCCTCTGTTGATTCTGAGGCTCCTACCAACAAAATTCGGGATTTCTTTTCTTTTTAGAATGATCAGAATGAGTTTTCCAAGCTGCTGTACCTTCGTAATCACCATTAAATTCATTCAATCTTTCCGAATCCTCTGCACTGCTTAGACCAAAACACTCTGAAATGTTTGCATTGGAGCTTCTGTTGAGAATGCCAATCAGTACAGCATACCATTTCCAAATTTCTGGTGAAGTCAGTTGTGTCATGGTGCTCTTTTTCTTAAAGATGGTGGCCCAACTGAGACTACTATACTGAGCCGGTTACAAAATTAAAAACAATATCCATATGCAAAATTAAAAATATAAAATGGCTACAATTTATCCATCACACCCTATATAGATATTATTTTTATAAACATTCACACACCCACACATATATATATAAATATATATATATGTATATATTTTATAAATATACACACATATACTTATACATTTTATAAATATACACACAAATATTTACATATATATATATATTATAATTAAATGAACACACATATATATTACTTTTATAAATATACACACATATATATGCATTTTGAAATGGACAAAGTCCAACAATTATTTTAAGACATTCTATGTTTATACATTCTTTTTATAGATACAAATATTTAAGTAAATGTTCTGTTTTTAATAAACAGTAATAAACAACATTTACCCGCCTGAATGTCTTAAAATAATTGTCGGACTTTGTCCATTTCATAATGTGTGACGTTGGTTGTTTACATTTGATATGCCATGAGCAGATATGAATGTACGTGAGAGATTCATGGATGATTGAAGTATAAATATAGTAAATTTGACCTTGCTAACCTAATGCTCCTCTGTGGCCGAATTGGTTAAAAGGCACGTCAGGTTATATGAAGGTTCTGTATAGGATACAGGTTCGAATCCTGTTGGAGGATGAATATTTTCTATGAAAATTTCTCAGACATTCAGGCCGGTAAATGTTGTTTAATACTGTTTATTATAAACAGCATTTACTTAAATATTTGTATCTATAAAAAGAATGTATAAACATAAAATGTCTTAAAATAATTTTCGGACTTTGTCCATT